CCCTGCGGCAATCATTGGTTTCCTAAACAGGCATCTGCACTGTTTTCATACCATCTCTAATACGAAGGGTAACACTTAAAGCTAATCTCCACACCAATGTCTTGGAGTAAGACTACGCAAAGGCCACATTATTTTTCCAGGTGGTTGTTTTTACCGTTGCTTTTAAAGTCGCACTCTTAAAGAGTCACCCCCAAAACCCAGACCCAACGGCTACTGAAAACATCTAGAAGAGTCATAGCAGAGGCTTGTAAAATAAAGATGACTCTGAAGAATAACTTGCCAAAAGTGAGTGAGGGCATGAATCACCCCAGCATTTGAGACTTCCCGGGGCCTGCAAGTCTGAGGGTGGGAGGTGCCAGTCAGAATGGGGCAGAACCTTCAGGCGCCAGTAGAGAGGCCCACCAAATCACCAGCGGGGCCCTTATTTCATGCTGCCATGCTCCGGAGCCTGTGAAGCCCTCCTTCCCACAAGGAGAGTCGTTGGGTAGGGAGGGGGTGCTGATCTCACCGTGATAGAGGGGCTTTCCGGAGGCACAAAGCGAGAGCCAGCGAGGGGAGAAAACGGCAGACAGGAGGGCGAAACCGGAGAAGTCGAGAGGGACCGATAAAGACATTCTTCCATGATGAGATGATGAGGTCTGTGTCCATGAGGTACCTAATAAGGAGCTTGAAGAATAGGACCATCATTGTCCCCATCACATAATAAAGGAAAACTCATTTTAAAAATACCATTTTCATTATTCATAGAACACTTGCAGTTTTAAGTTCTTCAGTTATGCCCGATAAACAAAAAGTAACACATGCATTTCAGTATTTATAGGACATTTGCATTGTACCTTTCTAAGAATAAAGTTTACTAGCAATATCGCTATCCCAATATGGCTCCCATCAGATGCAGCAATTCTGCAGTACGGCCACTGTCACTGTCCACGTTCATCAGTAAAAATGCCAGACAGTGAGCACCGTGAGAGGTTATGGCAGGACCCCTGCCCCACGTCTGCCCCCCCAGGCTGAAAAATTGCAAATAGGCTAGACTATAGCAGCATGTGACGCCTCACATCCTTCATAAGACAACGAGCGGGCTGTGTGCCGGGGGCTCGGGGTGTCTGCAGGGCTCGGAGTCTGAGGCTCAGTGCGGCACTGCCATCAATGCAGAGCACTGTAAGGGACAGCAGGCTGACCGGGGGAGAGAGGCGGCAGAGGGCTCCGAGCTGGAGCCGGCCGCACAATACCACTCTATGCAGCAAGCGTGGGACTGCTGCCCCGGGCCCTTTCTCATCGCCATCTTCCGCTTCTTAAGGACCCATCACTGGCCTTCTTGTGAGGCCCAGAGGGAATCTTTCCCGACATCACAGAAAAGCAAGAGCAAAAATACTTTACATCATTCTGTTGGCTCCAATGGCCTAAGACAAGAGTCTCCTTGGTACCAAGACTCGCTGCATACACAGTGATAACCTCAGAGTACAGGTGACAGGGGGGTGGGGACACACACATAACAATTAGCATACTGCAACCAAACAGGGAAAAGTGCATGAACCCTTTGCTCTTAATATAACATAATCAGAAAAACACATGCACTGTTACCGCATACGAGCCTGAAAACAAAAAGCTTGTCAGAACCATTTAGCTCAAAACAACTCAGCGAATAAACATTCGCTAGCTGCTATAACTAAATCCATAATGTTTAAAAATTACCAAAGTGGGATGGTCACAACAAACCTGAAGGGGTTCTGCATGCAATAAGGGTATCATCTTATGGCCATTTTATTCGGAAACAAGGAAGTGGAACAGTGGAACACACTGGGCTGGGACACTTGCAGAACACGTCAACGAGCGGTGCGCCAGTGCTAGGACAACATGCAAGTTCCACTCTATTCGTGAAGGCACCTTCCGTGACTCTCTGCTCATCAGGGCCAGGAGCACAAAGCTGAGACATCAATGCACTCGAGGAGGAAAAGGGAGACAGAAGGAGGAAGAGAGACTGAGGTGCAGAGGAAATGGGAGCGGTCCAGCCAATGGCCCCACCATCATAGGAGGCGGATGGCACTACCCACAATGTCAGGGGAGGCGTGGAAATAGGTGATCCTGTATTTCTGCCCATTCAGCTATCATATGGCCAATACTATACATCTTCAAGACACACACGGTTGTTGAAAAGCACACCAATGCCAAGCAACCTTTCAACATTACGCATGGTCAAGTTCAAGATGGTCTAGCTGTTTTTTGGTTTTTTTAGACCTCTTTTGACTCATTGTTAAGTATATGCTTTTTGTGAAAGCGACAGAGTAAGAGTCATAGATCCGGTAAAGGGGATGCTGTCCTTGGACTTCAGATTCAGAATGCATTAGGAAAAGTTCTCAAATATTCCTCTGCCATCTGGTTGTGTCACATTCAGAACTTGAAAGAGGAAGAAAGCTTTACATTAACACATTTGAGGAATTTTGCTCGCACCGAACGCAGGCCCAGTCCTGACGACACACATTCATTCTCGAATTACACGACGCCTTGCACAGGGCTGATTCTGAACAGGATCCAAAGATTCAGTCAACACTGCTCAGGGGTGTTAGCGCTCTAAGAACAGCATCAAGGATTCCTGTTTGGCTGCAAGAGAGCAAATACCACGCGGCATGCTCCGGTCTTTCCGAAAGCGTTTATTTAGCACCAGTCAGCGCCAGGAGCACCTCATTCACCAGTTTGTTTTGTTCACCCTCCAGGTCTGGTCCTATCACGATTGACAAGGTCTCAACCCCCCAAAAAAAAAAGGGCAAATATAGAGGCTGCATGTCCATCCCATATGGCTACGACGCTCATTTCTGTGTTTAATGGCTGCTATTTTAGTTGCTAGCAGAACAACTTGGAGGAAGCCTGGACTGTAGCTGGGCCCATTTGCTATGTAATTAAGCCATAAGCCAAAAGGACAAGAGTGTCCATTGGGCACACTGGTAACTCGCATCCAAGCGAGGGCACAAATTCCTCTGACAATATGCTGGGCAATGTGTGCCCACTTCCACAGCGGAAAGGGAAGCTTCAGTCGGGCCAAGTGACCTCCTGAGGTCAGGCGTCTATCCACAGCTGTCTCCTCTGCCCCTCAACACCCCGGTCCGCCTGCGGATGCCTTTCCGCTGAAGCTGGCAGACACCTGCCGGGAGACAAATGTGTGCCCAGTTCGGCTGCAGCTCAGGGACACCGTAATGCCAGGGTGTGGACTCTGTGGACAGCCTGAGTCAGCACCACACCTGCCAGCGTTTCAGTTTTTAGCAATATCAGAACCAGAAAGCTAGCCAGAATGACCCCGGGCACATTTTCACAAGGATGCAGCTCTTTTAGGGCTGGAATCTTCGTATGAGTCACGTGCTCCCTTCATGTCCCAGAGAGAGAAAGGCATCTTACTTTACCTACCGATTTGCATCGCAATATAATGGAAATCAAAATGTACCAGTAACTCAGAGCAAACACAAAAGGTGGAGTGATGGGTGACCGGGACACCCGATCTCTTCAAAAAAGGCTTCGTAGCAGGCGAGCCAGTGATTAATTTGGTGCCACGTCAGTCTGCCTGCAAGGCTGACGAGAGAAGCTGCGACGGCTTCAAAGAACACGTCCATAAACGGCCAGCTGTGCAGCCATGGGGGAGACCTACTAACATGCTCACTATTGTAGACACACGCCCCCCCCCCCCATGTACTAGAGGCCAGGAGTAAATTAAAACAGCAATAAAATGAAGAAATACAAGCTATGTCAGGCAGACCTCTTTACACAGACCATGCTAAGAAATTGAATAAGCTAATCCCTTTTTTTTTTTAAACTGAAAAGTTATAAAAAATGGTTGTACAGGTAGAACACCACAAATATGTGGCCTAAACAAAAACAGTTCACAGAGATTGACATCATCGTGGACAACTTAGGTGTCAGAGGCCCTTTACTCACCACAAAGACCTGGGTAAAAAAAAATTGCCACCATAGAGTACCACACTTTGTAGACCTCAGAGGCACTTACACTCCCCTTACTGGTCATGTTACCAGTGGAGATAACCCACTGGGAGCCTGTACAAGACAGACACCCAATACTTCTTGACTGTCCAACATCTGATAGAGTATAATCCCAGTGTCTCGCTGATTTATCAAGTTAAACTCGTGCAAAAGAGCTAAAGGCATTATGGGAGAGGCAGACAAGGATCGGTACAGATCGGGCACTTCCCTGCTAAGAATCTGAGACAGGAAAGGAGGACTTCCGTTTCTATCTAAAGCAAGAGCCTGAACTGCTTTTGCTGGCAAGACTCATTTGAGAATTTCTCACATTATGCCTTGGTTCACCCTTCATAGAGGCAAAGAAGCAGAAAAACAAGGTGGCAACTACTCTCAGATTCAATGTGCTTGTATGTAGTGGAAATAAATATACTACAAGCTTGGAAATGGTGATTTTTAAGGTGACGCAGCAGCGGATGCATGTCTGATTCTGGGGCCGCTAAAGGAGCATTTGCCTGCAGCTAGACAGTCACATTACAGCAAGTCTTTCACTCTCAAAACCTCTAAGCTATAGCTTCCACATGGCCCTTTCACACTCAGACAGGAAATGAGACCATTTCAAATCAAGCAGCAGCTCCAAGAGCCAAAGACAATATGGCACCTTCAGAAACGGCCTCAAAAGTGCCTTCATCCTCCGTAACATGAGGTTAAAAATGGCACATTAGTTTCCCCAATTGTATGTTCTTGTAACAAAAGATTAGCTTGGTGAGAAATCTTAAACGAGGCTACCCAGAGAAGACAATGGTGCGCTTTGATAAGAGGCTGACGTCTTGCATTATGGTGCAATCACCTGTATGCCCATGAGCAGTGGCTTGTGCGGTCTTTCAGGGCAAGGACTATTAATTTACATTTAACTACAGCCAGCCTACAGTATCAGTTCCCACCCTGTCAAGTCAAGCAATCAAAGTCATGTTTACTCACTCAGGTGCCCACATGCAGTATTGACTCAAGTTCAATGCCCGTCTCGCAGAACCTACCATTGAAGAAGCTCTTGACCTTCAGGTAGCCGACGCTGAGCCGCAGCACAGACAGCTTGTCCAGGCGCGCCTGCACATCTTCGGAGAATGGAAGCAGGCTGGTCAGCTTGTCCAGCTCCCCGTTAAGTCGGTCCCTGTGGCGTTTGGAGGGGTTTGACTTGACCCCATTTGGAGGTGGGGGCTTGGGGCTGTCAGGGAACCAGGAAAAACTGATAAATGTCCAATATCTAAACAAGATGTATCTGTTCATTTATATCATACTTTGGACAAACAAATCTAATACATCTAATTTCTCTTTAAAATATGGATGAAAAATTGGTATTGCTAAACTACTTCCGTACTTGGGAATGAAGAGTGCTTAAGACAGAAATGTTCAACCCGTTACTCCTTCAGATGTCAAAGTGTAAAGCAAATAACAGAATTATGGAGAACATGAGCGTAAAATTCCAGTCTATCTGTACGTCAGAATCAACAATTCCAAAAGGTCAGAAGTCAAAATTTCAGAAGGTCATGCAAAGGTCAACTAGCTGGGATTCTGAACTCATCATGTGATCTTGGGTATGTAGAAGTGAACGATTAGATGGGTATCTCACTATAGGTGACAGTCTAACGCAGCACGTCAGCGGGGGCTACTGGGCTTCGTAGGGTAACCACAGACATACGTTGGGACCAAGACTTGATCCCCCCACAGTGCCACCTGCCTGGACTGACCTCTGACCAAAACAAACGAGTCAAGTGTTTTGGGCCGGCAGGGCGACCTCGCTCTCACTGCACCTGTAGCCTTCCTGACTCCAGCTAAACCCGTGGGCAAACAAGTAAGGAAAACGAGCACAGAGGAGAGGTTCGTGTGCCCTTGGAAAGAGACTCAAAGCACTCAATGGCTTTCAAGCAACTTCAACTGCTACTCCTTCAAATTACTCAGCTTTTGGGAGGTCTAGTGTCTCCCCACTGGGAAAAAAACACAACTTGGGGAAAACAAAAAACAAAACAAAATCAATAAACCAGGCAAGAGATGAAGAAATATATTATGACCAGACAAGATTGCTTAAAAAGGAGTAACCGTGTGCATGGTATAAGGAAATAACTTGTGACCAGTGCATCAAAGTTTTGAAAGTTCCCCATACTGGGTGTGACAATGATTTGCTACCAGCAAGAAAAATACCAAAGATAAAATGCAGAGCTATACCTCTGCTGATGCTTCTTGATGAAAGCAGAGGAATATACACACTGTAAGGACCCGCTGAGCATGATTCAACAAATATGCCTGCAGCATTCCCTGCAAGACAAATTATCAACTACGAATCAGTTATCAGTTGTTCGTCTGCCAAAGTCGAGCTGTTGTAAAAAACAAAAAAACGCTGTTTAAGAACCTTGCATCATAACGAGTTTCTCAACTAGTAGCGAGTACGTTCAGAATGTGACTGGTACGTGCAGTCACAAGCAGTAAGGTGGGGGAGAATTTGGGTAGAAAACCAGAGCCATTGCTTAACAAAAGGATAAAATTGACTTAATCTAGTCAAACTGACTCATGTCTTTAGGATATGACTTAAGCAGACAATCATATGCCTAGCAGCTGGCTCGTGCTTTATACAGTGTTAGTAACCCAGCCACAAGTCCTTCACTATTAAGCATAACAGCTTGAGAAGGCACAGTCTTCACATCAAATATGACAAAAAAATAACCCAAATCTGCCAGTATTACAACATGATTTGCTGCGCGAGTCAGAGACCCTCCACCCTGCTAGGTTACTCAAAGCAGAGTCTGTTTCTAAGGTCTGGAGCCATAGTGACTGTCTTCATTAACTCCCACTGATAACGTACCCGAAGGGGAACCTGGGCCCTTGTTGCCAAGGAGCCAGGCTAAGAGTATGACATCATTCTGATGAAAGCCAGATCCCTCTGCTGTCCCCCCCCCCTCGGGGATCTCAGCACAACCAGGTGGAAAAGATATACTCAACGGATCCAGAACAACACTGACTAAACTGTGGCACGCGCAGGTAGCAGATGCCTGGAACACATCAGCACGTTACCGGCTTATTGGTGTAAACTGCCGACAGATGCCCAAAGGTGCCCAAAACAGGCAGTGGCGGCATAGGGTTACTATTTAAGCCAATGCTAGTTGATTGCCGAGGGCATTCTCAATCGTTTTGCTGTGGTTTCGCTTTTTGCCATGGGAGGCTGAGGGGTATCGGAGGAAAGGTACGGACCACTCCCAAGGCGAGGGCAAAGTTCACTTTCTGAACAAAACTCCTCCACACAAGACACGTGCCATTAATTGCTAATTAACTTCACGGCCAGCATTCCTGCATTCCTACTCAGAAACTAGAGTAGGAGTTGGATGTCTGTACAGTTACGGAACATATATCTTCTTTTAGTTGAAAAACAAATTACCATTACAGGCCTCAAATTATTTAAAATGTCTCACGAATTTACCAGAGTAATTGTTTGCCTTATTAGATAGTTGCTTTTCCATGAGCACAGAAGAGCACTGAATGTGTTAATAAAAATGTATGGTTTAACTCACATTTTCCCATTTCTTTAGCATGGATGCAGTCACGAAAGGGTTACTTAAATTATGGTCAAATAACATATGACAAAAAATTATGCATTTTCCCCAATTATATAATTGCCTTATATTGGTATTATTATTATTGAACATTGCAACAAGTTGATATATTTAAACAGGTCAGCTTGAGGGTACTGAGAACTAACAACAGACATTAGAGAGAAACAAGGAATTGTATTTAAAAAAGGAAAACCGAAATTGTATCTAGGAACAGTGCAGGGTGTGAAAAACGATGGAAAAACTATTCCTCATTGAAGGAAACATTCTCCCACTTGTCTTTTTGGATTGTCTGTTTATGTACAATAATATTGGTTGTGTTGGCAGCTGTAAAAATTAATTGCTGAACATTTTCGCGTGCCAAACGTGTGTTTTTAATAATCCTTTGTGACATGTGTGAAGGCGCTGTCAATGTCACAGCACATTGCAACAGCAGGGAGATTTTCCTTTTTTTAAAAAACCTGTGGCACGTTATGGCATGTCTGACTGCATTATCTTCCCTCTGACGGAGCCATATCCCAGAAGATTCGTACAGTCTCTTGGCATATTTAATTTATAAGGAAACAGCAGATTTTTACAGGAGGTGAATAACAAAAGTAAAATTGAATACCACCTAACCAAAAAGTGACATATTCATGTGGTTAGGTCTACTTTCAATGCTGCCAGCAAGTGAACATTTGAGGTTCCTTGTTTCCAAAACAGAAGGCAGTTAAGTGATGGTGGTAAATGAATGGCTATACAATGACCTTTTTGAACTTCTTTCAGTCTGTTTCGCAATGCATGCTGTCATTGAATACTCCATTTATATATCCATTCCTCGACAAGCAATATCATGGCATTTATTTTCTCAAAGTATAAACAGGTTTGTCCAGAGTTGGATGTGGAGGCTTCTTTCATTTTTTCCCTTTGCAAAAGAAAAAAAAATCATAAAAGAAGCAGTAGGTTTTGCTGGGTCAGAATGATGAAGAGAATACACACACACACACACACACACACACACACACACACACACACACACACACACACA